GCAGGTTTGATGCCTGTCTGACTAGTCGGATTCGAGACACGAATTTGTGGCTGTGAACATGTTTGCGACTCGAGTGATATTTCACTGCAGGGTAGCCACAAGAACAATGGAGAAACACTGTTCTAAATCGTTACAACAATGATGACAACAACACCAAATTCAAACAAGTTATGCAAAATGAAAATAGAATGAAAGTGGTGCAATGCGAAATTTGTTGGCAACTAATTTGTGTTTCTATACCTATACCACACACATATGTATATATGTATCATGCACGTGTGAGTGTGGCACAATATATGCATTAAAGTGAGCTTGCAAGTTGCATGCAATTGTGAGAGAGAGAATATGTGTCATTTGATGGACTTTTGTACTTCGGTGGTAATATGTAGCTGCTGCCTTCGTGGTAGCAACAACAACAAACACTAAGAAAAATATATTAATGGGAATTTCAAAATTATCTTAATCGTTAAGCATGTCTCAGTACAGGAGGGACCAATTTTTTTATTTATAGAAATGAGGAAGAGAGAAGAGTTGCTCTTAAATTTTAGTGTTATTATTTACATAAACGGAAATATTAAGAATTCTCCAGATTGATGTTGACATTTTGTAGACGTAACTGATTTGAGAGAACTGATTATTGAAAGAGTTGGATAATATGATTATTGAGGTACTTATTGACTATTTATTCGAAATTAGAATTAATTTGATATTAAATATTTTACAATGCCGGGCTCCGACGGGTTCCTTATGAGTTCGAGACTTAAAGCCCCTATGTGTGAGTAAGTGTGTAGTGGTTTGTGTGGCATACAGTGACTACCAACTTCAAGCTGGGCGTACTTTCATGCACTGGTGTGTGTATTTTGACGCCGCTCATATTTGCAACAGCAAGTGTTTGTTGTACTTACAGCTGCCAACCAACAGTGCTGCGGCTGCTGATGATGGTGATGATACACACTTACTTCATATCCTGTGCGGTCAGTTGATCATGGTGCTGCTGATGATTTGTTGAGGTTTAGTTTCTTTGCGAACAACAACACAACAACAATAAAAATAACCGCACGTCGAGTGCAAACCTTTATTGTTGTACATTTGGTCATTAGGAGCGTGTTGCCGCTGCTGCTGTACGTACTGCCAACAGTAGGCGGTCCATGGCGCTGGTTTGGGGGTTGGGGTCTGTTGTCGGTATGTTTATTTGCTTTTATGCCTGTTTGCGTGCACGATTATTTGGCTAGGCATCGGCTTGAATGCGCTCAATATCCAGCCCGTACAAGGCATTGTTTGCCAGTGTGTTTGTCGCGTTCGTTTTGATGTGTAGCATGCCACAAGCACTTGAGCAAGTGCCAAATCGCAGTAGTTTGCACAAATGCCTCTTAGTAGATGGTTAGTGGCGAAGAAGAGAGAAGGAGCGCGAGAGGGAAATTAGCAACGGAGAGATATAGGCAGAGAGAGAGAGCATATGTTTGTGTATATGTGTGTGTGCTTAATCACGTTACATTGAAGTCGAGTCAATTACGAAACATGATATACAGAATTGCCTGAACACCTACTAATGTCAGTGGGCGCGTGTGTGTGTGAGTGTATGTTTGCATGGGCGTTACAAGTTGTGCTCCAGTCTGGGTGCTGCTGTGTCATTGTCGCTTTGGGTTACCCTCTGCTTCGCGCAGTCCTGCGCCACTTCACAGAAATAGCGCATACTTGAGCGTGTCTGCACAGATATCAGCATGATATCATGTATATGCATGTGTGTGTGTGTGGCAAACGGAAGCGCTATTACCATAACTCAACGAGTCAATGACTTTTTGGTTGCGCTGATGGTCTTTATTATTAACAGGAACACGCCACCGCCATATGCGCCTCGGCGCTGTTTCCAATTATGGGTGACACATTCATCTCCGTGGCGGTAAGTGGCAACGCTACACAAATGGAAAGCCGACAATGGCACGCTGCCACAAGTACATCAAACCGATACGCAGCAAACAGCGCCCGCCCAGCAAACATCGCACCCAAGCGAGCAGACACACAGACACACAGCCTCGCATGTAACCGTTAGACCGCTAAACCGTTTGCCAGTGGGGCGCCACAAATAATTTCACAAATAAGCACGTTCCTCGTGTTGTTGCCGCCGCCAGCTGAAGGCGTGTGTGTGTGTGTGCGAGTGTTGCGCCTAAACTATTGTTGTTGTTGTGTGCTCCCTTCGGGGGGCGTTGGCGCGCTGATAAGTGTGTCAACAGCAGCAAGACGTTGTTCGTCATAAAGGCAGCGACTTAAAATATCTTATTCAAATAATGAATGAAATAACGGATACACCCACACACATACACACACATGCGCACATATTAAGGCAGTGTGCTACGATTGCTATTTTTGGTTGTATTAGAGGAAGTGGCGTTGGCCAAATATGTAAACGAGGTTATGATGTAGTTATTAGTCAAAGTTAGACAGAATTTCACTCAAACCCGATTGTCCAACTTTTTAGGCTTGATTCTACAGCATATCGCGGGTTTCGCACTCAGCGCATATTTCGATCTTGTTTCGGGAAAAATCCACTAAGACAAATCGTCATTATCTATGGACTTAACCCAGGAGCATATTTGTCGCCATTTGATAAAACCCGTAATTCTGCTTTTAGTCAAATCAAGAGATTTTCAAACTTTTGTTATAGTAAGTGTATCTCACGATTTAAAAAAATTAAAATTTTAAATTAAAATTTTTTTTTCAGTCGGAATGTGTTTCCCCCTTTTCAGCCATTTTGGCTGCCTTAGTACAGCGCTTAAAGCAATTTAGAGTTTGCCAGCAGAAATATGCTACCAATGTTGTTTTTGGTTTTGTGGTATATTGCCAGCGTTGGTGTTTGCATTCCCCTTTCCTGCTTGGCCTGCCGCACAATTGCCACTTAACAATTTCGCCAACTTTCAACATTCTCCGCGTGTTCGGCTATTTGTTTCCTGTTTTTAATTCAAAATTCCGCATTTGTCGCATTTGACTGTAATTGTTGTTGTTAACAATTTAGGTATGTTCGTATGTAGGCGGCATGTTAACATAATGCTGCCATATTTCTTACATTAATATAAAAATGTGGAAAACAAATTAAAAAAATAACGATTTTTTCCTTTCAATTTGCCGCTTTCGCCCAAGTAGTTTTGGGGAGTGGCGTGTTTTGGAATTAAATGGCTGTCGCTGCGGCTGGTTTTGCATGGGACCAGCATATTTGTGCTTCATTTCGGTTGCTGTTGCTGAGCTTTGTTGCTTGTGCGGAGCGGTCCATCCGCACGCAAATGGATGCACGTACACTTTAGCCGAAAACTAATTTATTTTGTAATTAAGTTTTTCCCGCCAGCCGCCGCGTCATGTCTGCCGACGTTGTTAACGGCCTAGCAGCAAGCAGCGACCTTTCCGCCTCTTTGTGCCACTAATGTAGTTTACCGAAAAGTTTTCGGCTTTAGTCACTGGTGTTTATTGCGTGAACTAGAAATACTCTGAAACCACTAAAGTTCTAACTCTTGCAATCGCAGCTAAGTCGCTTTGCTGGGGTTGTGTTGTCGGGGCATTTCCTCTATTTGGAAATAAACTTTTTATTGCTGAAATTTTAAGTATTTTATCTTTTTATTACTCTTACGAAATTGTATTTAAAGTCGTGTGGCTTGTTTATCTTCATTTGATCTGCAAAATAAATGGACTTTTCAAGTTTGGAACACATTCTCTCCCTTCACTTATATTTTCCCCAAACGTAAACAGTGACAGTGTATAGTGATTTGAGTCGCAGTTACTTAATATCAATTAAAACGAATGATGCATGTGTTCAAAGAAATATGCCAATATCCCTCAAGTGAATCCGAATATATTTTTTGCGAGATGCTTCGACCTATGAAAAACTAGGCACAGTTATGAGTCTGCCGATTTTAATTAAAAAGCTAGACATTTAAAACGGGCGATGGGGTCATGTGTAGAAGTTCTCGCAAGTGAGAAAAGGTCTCTGATTACCATTCACTCGGGAGTGGCCAGAAACGATTCTTTTGCATATGGCTCAAGCAGCTTACGACTTCCCAGTATTCTCTGGGTAGCTAAAGAACTTTCGTTTGAAGGCGAGCTAAAGTGAAAAGGCGACACATTTCCTCCACAAGGTTGTGCGCTGAGTTTGGGACCTGCCACGCAAAAAACGCCCTCAATGAAACAGAACAAACAGCCTCGGATGAGATCTTTATCTATCTTTATCTTCTTTTTACAACTTGCTCATCTAATTGTCGCTTTCTCACTTTCCTCGAACTTCACCGAATAATTTAATTACTTTGTTATAGCACGAAAAGTTCCCTGCGTCACCAATTAATGAATGTAATCAAATTAAGGATGAGGTTATTTTCTTCAAGATCCTAACAAAAATTATGTTTGGGTAGTATTTATCGTTTGCTGCGGAGTGTGAAATCAGGAGCTCTTAGCTGAGATACATTTCCAGAAACATTAAGCCTACAACACTCATATTCTCTCTCTCCTTAATTGCGGTGTGTCTGTACGGGTGGTTCGGCAGCAGCAGAAGAGTAAATAAGTTATTTGCATAACAAACAAACTCTCAGAAAACCAAGCGTCCAGTGTTCTTGCATATAGTTTTGAGCGGTATGTTGCTGCTGTTTTTGTCCCTAACCATGGGCAACAAAATCTGATACATGGCAGCACACTAGCACGCAGAAAGCGGACGATAACAAAATACCAAAAAGCGCGCCACGCCAAAGCGTTCTGCGAAACGAACAAATAAACAGAGGAATGTGATAAGAGCAAAGCATTTGGCGTGTGCGTGTGTTGCCGCCAGAACGCTTGGCGGCCCAAAGTGGTGAGCATGCGCACCACGACCGGCACACAAACATGGCTGCCAACGTGAACCACACAGATGAGCTGCTAAAACACCACACCGAAGCAAGGCGGACACGAAAGTACACCGGTGAAAGGTACATGGACTAGACCATGGCGTCCAAGTTGAGCCGGTGCTCAGTTGCAGCTGATAGCTCGAAGGACGTGCACGGTTTGGCGGATAATGGAAATAGTAGAGCAAGTTAGCCATTTAAAGAGGCAGTTGTGAGTTGTGCGAGCCAGCAAAGGGAACCTACTTGGTGAGGGTGAACGGTGTGATAAGCGGAGGTGTGTGCGCGACCACCCTTCCGGTTAGTGAATACGTGCGAGTATATGCGAGAGAGCGCGCAAGCAGTCAGTGCGGGAGATAAGCGAGAGCGCGCACACGTTGTGAGTGCATTGCTTCGTGGTGTTTGGGTAGACAGCGGTGTTGGTTTGGGTGTCGCTTTCGCTGCCGGTGTCGATGTCTAATGTCGGTGGAAGCTATTGGACGACACAGGCGACTTCGTAAATGTCAAGTGTAATGCCACAATCGCAATTGCTTGCGCCTATCAAGCAGCAGTAACAGCAACAGCAACAACGTAAGCGGCAAACAATTGGCGAAGAGTGTGAGTGGTGAGTGAACGAGCGCGCGGAAAACGGAAACGGAAAGAACCAAAGCAGCGGCGAAATACATACATACATACGCTTATAAGCGAAGTGAATTTGTGTGTGTATGTGTGCTAGAAATGTAACGCGCGACTTTCGCAAAGCATTCGCCATCGTGAACGCTGCTGCAATTGCATTGCACTGATTGTGTTCGAGTGCTGAGTGAGCAATAAAAAATCGCAATCGAATTGCATTGAAAGGCGCGCGAGTGGTAATTATAAATTTCACGTTACTTTAAAGGAGTTCGTGGCTTTAATCAGTGTGCGAGTGACAAGCGATGCGGAAAGTTCAAGTCGCTGCAAATCGGTAAATATTTGTAAATGGCCAGTGAAGTGAGCAAATCACATACATACATACTTAAATATCTGGTATGTTTACAAGATTTGAGCGTTGGCGAAGTGTGACGGTGCGCATAGTATAATAGAATTTCAGTGAAAACAAAAAAGTGCCAAATTTGTTTACCACATACATATTCATACTTACAAGAGGCCAAATTTGGTTAAACAAAAGGTGCAAACACGAAACCAAATATAATTGGAAGATCTGTGTGTGTGCGGTGATCTGCTTTGAAAGTGTAAAGTTCAAATTTATTTCAACTGCCAAATAGTGAGTTTCAAAGAAATAAACCGAAAGTAAAGATAAGGGTGTAAATCAAAAACATCACCTGACGAGATATACCTAAAAGTAACAGGAAGTGCAGGGAATAGACACAGTGTTGGTGATAATATTTCACTTAAAGATTTGCGAGTGATTTGGGAATTTGAATATAAGAGTTGTGAATAGATACCAAAATCAAAAGAAATAAGGGAAAGTATATACTAAATTGTACTAAATTAAAGTTCAAATTAACTAAACGGCGATTGCGCTATTTTAATCAATAAAAAACAAAAAAATTGTGTAAAGCGGCAAATTTCCTGAAAGCGGCACCAAGTCGGAGCAACTAGAATCAAGGCAGCCGAAACAAATAAGAATTACAAATCCTAAAACCGCGCGTAAAGACAACCAAAACAAAGCCATGAGGACAAGTTGCCATATTCTTGTGCTTTTGCTTCTATCACATCTCGGTGAGTGCAGCCTTTTTACACGGCAGCTTTATACATATAAGCATTTCTTCTCTCCCACTGCTATTTTTGTTTTAACAAGGGAGATCTCTTGGTTTTTGTTAACATCTTTTTCTATACATTTCTCGTGTCTCGTTTTGTCTGCGAATAAGTGCATGAGTGACGTCGACGGCTTGAACGCTTTCATGTAGAAAAAAATGTTTCACCGTGGTTTTTGAGCTTGTTTGAATGTGAGCATGGCTGCTTTTCACGAAATTACACTTCCAAAACTCTGGCATTACGTTTATAGCTTTTTGATTTGAAAATGTAAACGCAGGCGGAGGGACATGAGCAATATTGAATGCATTTTTCTATGCCTTAGGGTATAGAGGTTCGAAAGAAACACTGCAGCGAGGAAATCATTCATTTGATGAAAGGTTTATTCGAGCAAAAAAAGGCTTATTGCAGTATATTTTTCTATAAATAAATAAAAAACTTTATTCAAACTTTTTAGTTTTCCAACGATACATAGTATATGTATATTTTACAAAGATTTTGTGAACTTTTCAAAGAAAAACATTCACAACTCAGAGAAAAAAGATGCCTCCGCATTGACAACAGAACGTCTTACAGGATTATCAAGAATGAAGAAAACAAATACGTGTTTTAATTAAGGAAAAATAAAAAAGTGAAAATTGCATTTTTGGTAGACGATTTAGTACAAAATGCATATTTTTGTGCGAATTTCGCTACGCTTTTTTATACTCTTCCAATATGTTGCTACAAAATATTATATTATATGTTGCTACAAAATATTATATTATTGTTCATTTAACGATCGTTTTTATCACTATATAACTTATTTAGGGTTTATATATGTAGGTATAAACTATCAGAATGATGAGACGAGTTGAAATCCGAATGACTGTCTGTTCATCCGTCTGTCTGTCTGTGCAAGTGATAATTTGAGTACAAATTAAAATATCTTAATGAATCTTGGTACACGTGTTTTTTAGCGGAAAATGTGAGAAAGTCGTAGATGGGCGTAATCTGCCACGCCCCAGAATGCAATTAACAGAAACCTGTAAAGTCCCTCAACTAAGCTCTAAATTAGATATAAACAACTTTAATTTTACACTGGGGATCGCGGGACATGTGGCACTTGTGTGCGTGGAATCAAGCATCAAAAGCCAGAGTGCGGAACTTTAATCTGTTAAATCTAATCTACTTCCAACTCATATTTCTCCCACGAAAACACCGGATTAGGCATTACTTCATGGGAAAGAAAAGACTAAGTCTCATCACGGACTAATGTATTCTTGGGGCTTAATTTTGTCGTAGTTAGAACTGACGCTTCGCTGACAGCTTTGCATTTGCCAGAAGATTGGCTGTCAAATTTACCACCGTAAAAATAGCCGTCTAGTGAAGTGTTTAACTTATCCCCTACATTTGAAAACGAGAGCAATGAAAAAATACTCCTACCGAAATTGTGAAAATGGATGGAATTGAATGACAATCTTCTGACATTAATATGCTACAGTGAACACAGGCTAAAGTCACGTATAAATGTGCCCATATAAGAAAATGTTTAATTTAATTTGATTTTGTCAATTTCAAACTTACAATTCAAGAAGAAATTAATAAAAGCAATAAAAATTGGTCAATGTGAGACATATATAATTTACATCTCCAGAAAATTCTTTCCTGATAAAAGTAAGTCTAAGTGTCAAAAATGGGTCGAATCGGGTCAATGCTTCCATTAGCCTCCATATACCCAATATAAAGATTTTCTAACTTCCAAGTGACTTTACTCCATATGGTTGGTGGTGATGTACCTTCATGAACCCCTAGGAGCATTTAATAACTAAAAAGTTTAAATAACAGTTTTTAATACAAAGTTTTTCCAGCTCCTGAAGGAATTTCTCGGTCTTTGATCTTTGCAAGTTGCAAGAGCCCAAAATGTTCGGTTACACCCTTAATGCGTTCCTCCTTAGTTGTTAATAGTTATAATTGAACAAAATAAATTATACTTCGAACACCTGTGTAAAATTTCATTAATATAGTTTGAGTAGTTGGTAAGAAATCTTCTCAACCGATTTGAAAATACAGTTCTAGAAAAACTCCTTACCACGGGAGCAGAGATTTTCACGTACCGTGAAATAAGTAGAGCTGAGTAGAAGTCCCACTAAGAAGTTTCCACAATTGCGAACATGAATTATCGATGTGAATTGTTCGTGTCTTGTTTAAGACCAAAAAGTTGTTTTTCATTATTTTGGAAGCCTAACACAAGAGATTTTGCCAAATGAATAAAATATTGCTATTTGTAGCAGGAAACATCAAGCTCTCTGTATATTTACACATATTCATAAGTGTGAGTAAGTGACGATAAAATTTAATCATTTATATTCAATTTCAATAATTCCCCCACAACGTTTGTCGCCCTCCTCTGGGATTGAAATCATTTTGCAAACACTCTAACGGCAACCTCTAACCGCAATCGAGAATTGTGCAAAGTACAAATTAATAGTCACTTTATCACATCTAAACGATACCGCAATCTGATTGTGACAAATTCTTCCACAACCACATGCGCACACGCCGACACACACACACATCCATGCGGAAACGCCGTGGTGAACAATTTTCTTTTATAGTTTTCGTTTGCATATAAATTGCTGGTAATAATGCGAAATTATTTCGCATGTTACCCCACCCCTTGCAAGCACACACACTCAAATGCATACTCAAACACATACATATGTGCCCATTCATATTCACACATTGATTGGCGTGTTGTAGAACAACAGAATCTGCCCGGTTTCCACCCCAGGGCAGCAGGGGTTAGACGGGTGTTTGCTCGATGTCATAAAAAAGCGAGTAACTCGCATCTCTCCATTCGCACATTTGGCATTACATATAATTTAGCATAAAACCGAATTCATTTGCATATTTGGTGTGGAAGAAATTGCGAATATGGTAAGGGATTGAATAAAAACTCCTGTTAAACGAAGGAAAACACCAGCAGCACGCCAGAGGGGGTCGGAAGCGCCACAGGAATTACTTAAAAGCCTGCGAAGTGTGAATGATGGGTAGCGAGATAGCAGAAGGAGAACAGTAATAACAAAAACATATCACATTCAGAGCTGAGTGTAGGCCATTCAAGCGTTTTCCTTTAATATTTAAAATGTCTTCTCGCAATAATTTACAAATTATGTCTAAAAGGAATTTGAGAACGAAATATGTAGTAAGATTTTATTAGCAGATTCTCTTGTCGCGCTTGCTTAAATAAAATAATGTTTTGTTCCAATTGCCCTTTTTGTGACAACTCCGTAACAATTCAACACATACACTACTCTGACAACATTGACTTAGCAGAAGCATTAAAAAAACACAATTATAGTACCTAAGCTATTAATAAGGCGGCTGAAGGCCTAGTAGCTAGTGCTACTAAGTAAAAAATAAAAATTAAAAAATAAATAAATAAAAAATAATTTTGCATTCAATAGTATAATAACACTCTGGAGATTAAATAAGTTTTCCAATATCTCATAACATTTCCACCAGATAAGTCTATATTTACATAAGGTTGTATTTGAGGCCCGCTCAATCAATTACAAATTTCCCAAAAAAAAAAAAAAAAAAAAATTTTAACTTCAGAGATGTAATACCCTTCACAAATCCAATAACTTTTTTCCGGTCGCTCATCTCGTGTATGGCAGCTTTATGCTATAGTTATCCGATGTAAACAATTTCTTCGGAAACGCATTTTTACCATTGAAAATAAATTGCGTAAACTGATTTACTAAATGTTGTCTCATTATATAGCAACGTTATATAAATGTTGCATTTTTTCTATGAGAAAAGAACAAAAAAAAAAAAAAAAAAAAAAAAAAAAAAAAAAAAAAAAAAAAAAAAAAAAAAAAAAAAAAAAAAAAAAAAAAAAAAAAAAAAATGCCAACTAAATCTGTTACAAATTCTTATATTGAACACAACAAAACTGATCAATTCATTATAATTAGTAGTGGAACCTACTGAAATAATTATCAAAAACTAAAAATGACATCACCTGGGCAACTCTCATCCATACGTTTTGAGAAAAGCAGAAAATGGAGCATTTTTTTGAGGTTAGATTCCATCATTGTGAGAAAGGTATACGCAACTTTCATAGCTGGGGCATAGGGCAGAATAAAAGAAAACTTATTGTAAGACAAATAAAAAAAAAAAAAATGATGTTAACGATATTTTTTTGTAGAATTGATCTCTAAATGTCTATTAAATTGTCCATGCAAGCATTCATTGCTCTTCTGGGTCACTACTCTGAACGGCAAACATTTCTTGAAGAATAATGATGCGAACTTGCAGTATTGGCTCTGAATTTTTTCACAGAATTGTTGCTGGGAAAGCATTTATTCAATCAATACGTGCGTATTTTTATTAAATCTTTAAATATAGATGGAACAACAAATAAATAAAAAACAAATTTTCCGCAATTGAAATTTAGGAACACTGATGGTTGCTTATAAATATTTTTTACTGGAATTTGGTCCTCTGTGGCGCTATCTACATATATGCCCACTGGTGCGTTAGAAGCTGCTACCTTTATCGATTATCCAATGAGAATTTCATGATATCTCAACGATGAACCAAGAAAATGGGCTTCGAACAAAGAGCCAGCTTTAAATTTTGTTTTAAAATTGGTAAAACTTCTACCGAAACATTTCAATTGATTCAACAAGTTTATGGTGATGATTGCCCATCTCGTAGCAGAGTGCATGAGTGGTTTCAACGTCGTCAGGACATAAATGACGATCAACATGTGGGCCAATCAAAATCCGTGATCACCGGAAATTCGATCGAAACTGTGCATGAATTCATCAAAAATCAGGCGAAATCATCACGGAAATTCATGGAAATGGAATTGAACATCTCCAAAACATCGATTTATCGCATCTTGATCGAACATTTGGCAATTGACTGACGGCCCAAAATTGCTTAGAATCCAACATTCGAAGGACGATTATTTG